ATTGTTAGAACAACAAAATAAATTTCAGATTGATAAGATATATGCAAATAAAAATGAACAAGTATACGTAAAGATCAAATATTTCAATTGATTATATGGCATATAACAATTGATAAGATGAGATTGATGATATCTATCCAAAAACGATCAAGTTTTTGTAGAGTTTCATCATCATTAATCGAAAGATTAATTGAAATAATTTATCAATGATCGATGTTAAATGTTTTTGACAAATAATATCAAATTCATGTTTAGATGTGGATCGAAAATCAAGACCATAGAAACTGTAAAAAAAGATGTCTACCACTGAAATAATTGAATAGATAGTAATAAGTCATCGATCAATAATTCAAACTTATCTATTTTGTTTTTAATAACTGTACATTTAATACTATGCAAATTTTTATCAAAATGATTTATCTTCTAGGTCATTATTGAGAAAAAGAAACATTAGAGAGAAATCCATTAGGATTCAAAAGTATATTTTCTTTTGTAAGAAAATACAATCATGAATATTTAAAATTTATGTTACATAATTTAACTACAGATATGTATTTCAAATTGTTGATGTTTGCATTAGTTTCTCGTCATTTCTGAAACCCAAGCAGAGTATAACAGTGTTACAAACATTGATTCACATGCATTCACCTCTCTTCTACACCTAAATACCTATTTGTTTCTTTTATCCTTTTTTTCGTTTGCTCTTCGTCTTTCTTCTTTCTCGTTATCTCACACATGCTTGCACGTCGATTCGTATCGGAGAGAATGCAACGAAAAATTGAATACCAACAGCTGCTTACATACAACCTACCTGTTGGTGTATGTAGATCTGTTCAGTAATTTTATAGATATTAATATGCTGATTTATGCTGCAGCTTAATGTTATGACTAGCGAGTATTTGTAGAAAGAATGTGCAGAGAAATATAAAGTTAGATACTATTCAGGCAAACGAATACATAGTTGTATTTCACCGTCACAAGATCGTTATCATGACACGTGCTGTACTCGACAAACTACTGGAAGCCAATTTTGAGCAGTACCAGGTACTGTGGAACGAGCATAGATATCATTTGCACATTTCTCATCATCTCGGTTCGTTAGTATTACTTGGCGACAGCGATGAGCAACTCAAAGATATTTATGAGAACATCATGTGCCATTATACCGATAGGTATGAGTCCTCACCACACGAAATTACAAAAGACAATTGGCGCAATTCGCTCGGTGATGCTCGATTTTATTTGAGCTATTGAGACTTCTTCAACAAAGAGCTGCCGACACAAAGTGATTGGAAAAAGAAGTTTTTCGAATTGTTCCTCGATGATATGAAAGGATTGCCACTCATTGACGCATTTCTTAGTGGTTTGATGCATCCGATCATTCGTATCGGCTGTACTATTGAATTAAACAGTCGGTGGATAGCATGTAAAGCACTGACTATGACAGCTGTGTACTCTCGTTCTTCCTATAAGATATCCACCAAACTAAAAGCACCAACGAATGGGAAAAACGGAGCTCTTCAAGTTACAAAGGACGTTCGCTCAGACGACTATGTACCAAGTTAAGAAACGGTCGGATATGATATTAACTGTTGTTAATTGCGAGTACATGTCTATTCTGACTTGAATAAGACTCAATTTTTTCAAAGATCTCGTTAACGTCAATATCTTTCGCAAAGCAAGTCTGAGTGACAGACAGATAGGTATAGAAACTTAGTCCATTTACGATTATAAAATTAGTTTTTATTCACAATAACGAAAAACGATTCTATAACAATGGAAAATAAGTACGCACCGGCAATTCGAGATTGTATGAAATGCCGGAATGTCCAAGAAGTAAAAAATACCTGGCAGACTCGAGTTACCGTTTTATCTTACTTTATAGATGTTTAGGTTTAATATTTAAACTGAGTACTTCCATGGGAAGTATACCATAAAAACACAAAGATCTCAGAAAATGTTTTAAGGTATCAGAGTTTATAGAGCTTTTTTCGCTGATCATTTTGATAAAAAAAATTCTCTTTTCATCAAAAAATAACGGCGCTAGGATCAAAACACTGAAAAATGAAAAAAATCGCGTCGGTTACTTGTTTTTTCAGTATTTTGACCCTACCACCGTTATTATATCTGTATCAAATACGAGTACGAAGTCAATGTTTCTTTATTGAACATTACTATTTAAGAGAAAAACAACACCAATATTGCTGTGCGATATTAATTGTCACTTAGGTTTGTTGGTTTTAACTTCAGAAGATATTTCTTCACAAGATGGTCAAATTAAGATCATGCGGCCGCTCGGGCAGCAAACGAGACGAGGACGATCGCTCCTCACCGGTCCCGTTCATAAAATTCAGAAGCGGTGCGACCGCACTCAAATGAATCATACTTCTCATTACAGAACGGACGGACCGCTCGAGCGGTACACGTCTCTGACCCACACACACACTCTCAAGTGAATGAAGATTGACGAAAAAAAAGAGAAATCAAAGTAAATACGCAACAGAACGACATCATTCTCGCTATGATGCTAAGCATCATATATTTATATTCGATCCCAGATATGTCAATTGTACTGTTCTCCTATTGACTTTTTCTTTTTGAGTTCTAAGTGCGTAGTATAAATTGCAATGGAAGACAAACATGTGTGATAGAAGTAGAGTGCCGCTCAATAGTAGTCCGCTAAAATTTTCTCAAACAAGCTTATATAAAGACAATTCAAGAAATATAATGTCGTTATCAACAAATACACAGATAAATAGAAGAGTTATTATCCGTATATCTGATAATCGAACACGTCGACGGCAAACGATTCTGTAACTACTGGGCGAGTTCATCACGCATTGATAGTGATCTGTTACTTTTTCACGTATCAGCCGTACATTTAAACGTCAATGCTTGAAGATTTGGCATGGTATTGACAAGATCAAGGACAGTGGTTCATTCTTTGATATTGATAAGAAGCACACCACATTGATCACCCAGTAGTGATCGAATCAATTAGACATATTGTGGACTGTAAAAGTGTTTATCATAGATTTGTAAATCTAATTGCCGAATTGAAGTATTCGTGTATTGCATTCGATACAATTGCAGAATAAGCTTATAGTTCATAGCCAATGAATATAAATGAGAAATTCGGTAGAAAAAGTCGCGAAGTTCAATTAAATATGGATGATTATCACCATTACAATATGAACTTAATCATAATTCAAGCAAAGTCAATAGATCCAATAGCAAACAGATGTACTACAAATCATCATCGAAAGGAAATGATAATTTTAGATGATGAATATTCGAAAATCGAATCGGCTGAAAACACATGTATGGAAATGAAGACTTATACTGAAGAGTATGTACACGATTATACGACCAATAGTTTCGCTCGTTCAGACAAGTCAATTTGGATAGCATGTTTTTTAAACAGATCAGTTTCTTAAAAGGATAAGGTAGAGTATAGAGAAAGATTGGATCATTTGTCTGATGTTGATTCCAATTACATTGTACAAACCATTGATGTTTATTGAGCCAGAATTGCATACGAAAAGAATCGAGTAGCACATCGATTTGTTCGAAAACGTTCTTATTATTATCAAAATAAAAAGCCATGCTCAGTCGAAACACATTGAGTTTGGACAGATGATTGATAATTATTTCTTTCCATTGATACCTACTGAGTAGATCTGAATATAAAAGTATTATCAAATCACACGAGTTTATATTCTATACATAGTGCTACAGAGTCTTCGCAATTGCGCTTTACTCATGTTAAGTAGCACATTTCCTAGAGACTGTCGAATTTTATGAAAATCTGCACGCATGTACAGAATATTTCACTAGATATGCAATCCAAGTTTCATACTGATTGCTCAATAACAAGTGAAGATAAGATTATTTTTGAAACATACCGGTATGAAGTTGCAATCAAAAATAATCACCAGACTATTAATTTTATTGCTAAAAAAAAATCATCTGATGCTGCTCGAAATCAAATAACGAGTGGATCAGAATAAATTATACTAAATTTTTTTCATTTTTTTGTTCAATTTCTGTTCATAAAAAATATTGATTTATACACCGAATGATAGAGAATTTCAAGCTCTACAAAACTGTTGACTTTATTTTTCAAATAAATTTTTCTTGTCATCACCAGATTAAAAAAGATTCACATCTACTCAATCATTCAGTTGCAATTTTCTATTTTCTGCTGACATTTATTGATTAGTATAAGCCTTTACTCATTAAGACCGATACTACAAATAAATTATTTGACACCAATAAATAGAGAATTTTGTGATCTATGCATTCAGAACCTTCTCAAGATTTCTAGTGCTGCTGTTCAGGAGAACAAGGTTTCGAACTGGACGACTCTCTGTATTTTTGGATGCATTTTGGAAAACCATGTTTTCAAAAACTAGACTTGCTGTATGAAATATTTATTATTATGCCGTCGAATGTAGAATTTAATTCTGAACAAAATTGTGTAGATGTTAACTGAAACAGTGAAAACATTTAGGATGTGCCGAATTAAAAAAGAACAATGATTTAGGTCTATCAGAAAAGGGCTTTTTGGTGTTTTCACGTTTTTTTGTACGTCAAAATTGTCTCTCAAAAATAGTTCTTCTAAAATTCTGAAACATCCATCCAAAGATACAGAATTTTTCGGAGAATATCGTGGCATAGTTGAAACTTCAGTGCAACCTTCTTTTATCTTTTTATTTTGTTTTAATCTTCGCAGTTAGATGATTGAGTAGGTATCCATCTTTTAAATCTGACGCCGACAAGGACAACTTATTTGAAAAACAAAGTCTAGAGTTTTGCAGAGCTTGAAATTTTCAATCTTTTGATGTATAAATAAATATCTTTGATGAACAGAGAGTAAACGAAAAAAGCAAATACATTTCGTGCAATTTATTCTGGTTCATCCATCATTATAGAATTCTACAAAAAAAATATATATGTGTAACACATTGTATCAACGATTCGGTTCATAAATACGTTTCTTAATTATCGTCTGTAACAAAATCCTGTTCATTTGAATTTGTTGCAGCTAGAATCGAGAAAAAATAGAATACATGAATAATTTTAAGCTAAAAAAGAGCTTACTCGACTTCTCATGCATCGAATAGTTTGCGTGCCAATTGGGCAAGGAAGTGACAAGCGAATTGTTACGTTCATCAGTTGATGCTGACTCTTGTTCCTTGATTTTATTAATCACCGATCTCCAGTAGTCTTCGGCAATACTATTCTCAAGCAGCATATTGTCATGATCATTAAATGTCCTTTGTAATTTGCAAGCTTTATCTTGTTCTTTTTCTATTTTATTCGAGCTTTTGAATTTGAATAATGATAAAAATCTCGGTTTGTGCTTGACTGCTTCTAAAAAGAAAACAAAATCTCCATTGAAAGTCAATTGTATAATCACAACGAACCAGAATCAACAATTGGATCTGTATCTTTTTGTATTGATACCATTTCGAGATCCCCCGATTGACTTTTTGAAACTAAACGAACAAATTAAATGAAGACTGAATAAATTTTACTTACTTTTATCCAATTCGTCGATCGTGAAACTAAATGCTGCTCCTCTATTTGGATAGTTAGCAAATACAACGGGTATGTTCCGACCATTTTTTGACTCTACACTATTCTCGACATGAGTTATGCTGGTCGAATATTCATTTCGGTTTCTGGCACTAATCGGACTTAAAGAATGCGATTTAAAACCAAGAGCTAAAAATAGGCCACCACTTGTAATTTTAAGTGGTTGATCTAAGTCAAATGTTTGCACTTTTTCTCCATGTCCTCCATTGTTCAAAAGTGAACTATGAGCAACAACCTGAAATGTATTTGGATCGTCCGCCACATGGGATAAAAGATAAGCCATGATGTCTCCTGTTGAATTGACTGATGAGATCGTGCTAAAGTGAATCTTTACTATGCGTATTTGACCTGACGTATGATGGATTTGGTCTCGATAATTAAATACGACCATATTGTATAGATTCGCATCAATATGCATAATATCATTTCCATCATGTATGCCGTACGTATTACCATCAGAAAAAAAGGAAATAGAAAGGTATTGTTATAATCAGATCCAACGTAGAATTTAAATATTTGATTTACCTGATTTTCTTTTCCAAGTTCTCATCAGATATTCGTCAATAGAATATAGAATATAGGCCAATACATTAAATGGCGGTGAAAAATGACTCTTCTTGGCGTATTCCATGACAAGTCGATAGCGATGGTAAGCCCAGTTTTTACGCGCACTGCGCTCCACATTTTGAATTGTCACACTGAACAGAATGGGTAAAGAAAACGTTTATCTTTGAGTTAAAAAAAATCACTCCGATCATCATTACTTGAAAAGAGCTACTAAAACATTGAGTAACAAGACACTAGCAATACACACAAAGAAGATAGTCAAAATAAAAGCTATTGTGCCATAAGCATTATTCGGCACTAAAGAATAAATCAATTTGAGTTTCAGTTCTGTCATTCAATCCTAACATATACTTACTCGTGATTTGCGTCTTATTTCCATAATGATGATCAGCTATCAATTCCACCTCACCATATGCCTTCCACATGCCCCACTGGATAACATTTCTGATTAGCTCCCAATCCCATAAATTTGTGCCATTGTTGAATAAAATAAATTCGTGACGAAATGATGCATCTTTCGTATCCCTCCAAGTAACTTGCTCGTCAGTTGTAACCAATGCATATGATGTCACTGAATAACCGGCCAGAAAGACGAGGACAAAACAGATAAAAAATGCTAGATCTTTCATCTGTACGGATCATCAAGTACAGAGTGATAAATATTGATTTTCTGACAGTAAAAACCAAATTAAACTTACCGTATTGAAAATCATAAGCAACTTCGGTCCCAACCGCTCGTAAGCAGCAAACACTTGAAGTACACGAATATACCAGAGATATAAAGCCAAACACATCAAAATTCTAGAAGAGATTGCTTTCTCAATCTATGAACGTGTTTTTATTGAGCTCACTTCGAAGCGATGAATGCTGGTTCGTTGATAATAAATCGACTAACGAAACCACCAAGATAACAGGTGATTGCAGTGAAGTCCAAAACATTCCATAGATCTTCGGAAAAATATTTCCGTAAAATCTTTCTCCGAGTAACACATTTGGTGCGTTCTTCATTCCAATGACGTTGAAACTAGTAAAAAAAAGCTGTTTAAGATTAATTTGATTGTTTTTTCTCGAAATCTCTTACTTCTGTTCCCTCTTCTATAATCATACACCACACAAGAATATGAACGAATAATTCAGCGATGGGTATTTTGATATTGACAACGCCGTTTCGAACACCACCATTGTTGTTAAGTGGAAAATAGTCGACAAGTAGAACAAAACTGAACAAGGTCAAGAAAAGAAGATAGAATACCTGAAAATAAGATTCGAAGTGACTACACATAATCAAGTGAGAACTTTCATTCATCATACAATGTTATAATAAAATCGAACGATTGCTCGTCGTGTATAGAATTGTTTGAACAGGTAAACACTTCGACGAAAATATCCGGCGATATTTGATTTATTCTCAAGCTTACTAGAATAGTGAAAATAGTTCGATTGATTATTATATAGTCGATGCCATCAATAACAACAGACTTTTCAGAGATGCCAGTAATTTGCTTTTTTACTAATCAAAATTTTAAAATTATGAAGTCTTTTTTTACATTTCTGAGTGCAGAAATATTTGCTGCATCGAATGATGCAAAAATTATTTTATTATCTCGTAAATTAAATCTGTAGTTAGTAGCATTTTACGAGTAATTGAACTTGTTCTTATTATGGTCGCTTTTCCTAATAAAACAACAATTCAAAAACTATTCCTATTAAGAACAGATCATATAAAATATATGGAAAAAAAAAAATTTTTAGTAAACGAACTTTTTCTAATTTGAACTTGAAAATATGAATATATTTCTGAAACA